CCCACTTGTCCTTGGGTTTGGGGTGAGCACTCTTCTCTGTTACTGGGATAGTATTGACCCCACTGCAACAGGGGGCTTTCTGTATATAAAATAATACAATATTCCAATACAACACCAGACGTAAATGGCAATGCTTATTCAGAAAGAGAAATAAATCATAGAAAATTACACACTTTAAAATGACTATTAAAAATCACAAAATCCAGAAAAATAACACATATGCTAGTGCAATCAGTCCAGAAAAACCATACCTGTGGTCACAGATGCAGGTTCCCTAGCTTGCTAGCACTCCACTCAGGAGCACCCGGGTGACATACCCAACAAAGGAGAAGAGACAGTGTGGGATTGGGGAGGGAGGTTGAGGAATGTTTCAGGGCTCAGAGCACAGCAGGCCTCTGGCTGCGCATAATATTTCTAAGACTGCTGTTTGAGGAAAATTGGGCTTCCCTAACACATAAACAAAGAAGATCCAGTGTCCTCAGTCATGGCACCAAGGTGTGGATTCCTCCCAGATCCCAGGAGTTGGGAGCTAAGTGGGGCCTGTCTCCCCATTCCTGGGATCTCTGTTCTTAGAACAGGGTCTTAGGTCACATCTGGTGTAAAGCGGTATCATCTCTCTCTTTCAGAATGAAAAGTTGAGTGGAAAAAGATGCCTCCTCCCCTCTGAGCACATTCCCAGCCTTTTCTCCACCTGAGGGCAGACACGTGCATGAGCCCAGGAGAGACTGGCAGAAGAGCCTCCAGACGCCTGCAGAATGGGAGAGGCAGCAGCTCGTTAAGTCTTGCGGTGGTTTCTCATGGAGCAATTGATATCTGACCCATGCAGAGTGTTCTGAACACGTCTCACAGCACAAACCCACCCTCCACTCCACACTGAAGCTCAGGAAAGGCAAATCTCCTCTACTTGTAGACTGTGGGCATCCTGCTGGCATCTACAGCCATGAGACACTCAAGCACAACTTGCTTCTTCTGAGTCAAGTGTACCTGTCATGTTCTGCTCACCAGCTTCATCCCCTTCTCTTGCTCTATGATGTCAGGACCATTGAGCTGCCCATAGGGAACCAACTCTCCAAAGGACCTGACATACATCCACCAAGGACACTTATAGATGCAGAATGTTCCAGACTCTCACCCCAAAAGCCAGGCCTGGCAGGGCCCACATGCCTGCAGAATACACCAGGGAGAACCCAGACAGTCAGGGACAATTGTTTATGGCATGTCAAGAACTACTTAGAGGTTTTATTTTAGGACAGTTGGAAGCTATGGAAGGCTTTAAGCCGGGATCATGATCTGATTTGCTGTGCTAGGTTGGACGGGACAGGAGAGGAAGCTCAGACACACCCATGACACTGCACTTCAAAGACAGTATAGTCCAGAGAAATCACGATCTTCCTCATAACTATGGCAGTAGGAATGACATCTTGGAAAGATAGTTTAGAGGATTTTCCGGGAATATAAATTTTACTGGCTGGGGAAGGGTGTGGAAGAAACAGAAAGTATGATAGTCAGGTAGGAAGATAGATAGATAGATAGATAGATAGATACAGAAAGATATGAATAGATGATAGAATAAATAAATGACTGATAGATGATAGATAGACTAGATAAATGATGGATATAAAGATGATAGATTAGATAAAAGGTAGATATGTAGTTAGATATATGGATGGATAGTGACAGATAGATAGATAGATTAGATAGATAGTAGATAGATAAATGATTGATAGATGATGGATATAGATAGATACATAGACAGATAGATAGATACAGAAAGATATAAATAGATGATAGAATAAATAGATGACTGATAGATGATAGACTAGATAAATGATAGATAGATATCAAGATGATGGATTAGATAAAAGGTAGATATGTAGTTAGATACATGGATGGATAGTGACAGATAGATAGATAGATAGATTAGATAGATAGTAGATAGATAAATGATTGATAGATGATGGATATAGATAGATAGATAGATAGATATACAAGGCCCTGTTCTAAGCACTGCACTAGAACTATATCATTAATTTTCCTGATACCCCCTATTTTGTGTGATGCACTATTGTGGCTTGTTAGATTACTGTCCAAAATGCTTCCTGTCCCCACCCTCCATGGCAGAGTGCTCTATCCATAACTTCCCTTTGGCTGTGCCATGTGACTTGCTTTAGCCCATGGAGCACTGGCAGGTGTGATGTAAGTCAAGGCTTAGAAAGCGTGTGTGAGATTTACCCTGTCCTCTTGTGCATCTACCAATGCCATGAGACAATATGGAAAACCAGGACCCATGTCCCAAGAAGGAGGAAGCCCAAGGAGCAGAGCCCACCCAGGCCATCCCATCTGGGTCAGTGGAAGCCCAGTTGAACTGCAGACTATGCAAAATAAATGTCTACTGGCATCTGCCAGTGAGATCACATAGCCGCTTATTACACACCGACTGTAGTGATAACTCATCAGGGCTGGGAATCACCGTCATTCCTGTGACACAAGGGAGGAAACTGAGGCACCGAGAAATCGACAGTTTGTCTGGTGGTCACACCTGGGCCTCTGAGCAGAACTATGGAGAGTGGTGGGGCCTCTAACTGAGATGGGGACACTGGCTGAAGGGCAGGTCAAAATGATGCTGCTGCGGCATTAGGTTTGCTAGGTTGTTGGGGTTGCAGGACGTCCAGTGATGACATCACGGGCAGGAGGATGTGCAGCTGTGTTGTTAGAAGCCTGGGCTTGGTGGAGATGACTCCAAACTGTGGCAGTGGAGTTGACACTATCCCGGAAGAGAGAGGTGAGCTCACCCCCAACACAAGGACAAGTGGCGGTGGTGGGTTCATGGATAAAAAGTACTAGGAAGAGACGTCAAAGGCAGGGGTTTATGATAAACTTATCTGACAGGATTCTTACAAAAGGCAGGACAAGGTCTTAGACACTGAAGATCGGGGAGGAGGAACTTGATCAGGAGTTGGGGGGGTCAGCGATCAAGGGTGGGGGATTCCCACTAGACTGACTAGGCAGGTTCTCTCCTATAATGGGCAGCAGGAGAGGGGAGGAGAAGGAAGAGGTCAGACCCGGTGGGGAAGGCTTGGAACAGCCAGACTGGAAGAGTAGGGGTCAAAAAGACTCTTGTCCCTGGGCCTAGCTCCTCCAGGAAGAGAAGGGATACAGGGCCACACAGGAAGCAGGGTTGCCCTGAGGGCCTCTGGCTCTAGCCCCAGGGTCAGTGAGTCAGGTTAAGATGATCCCAGCAGGAAAGGTCCTCTGTTCTGAGCCCTGCACTTGGCAGGAGGAACAGAGTCAAGTTGTGCAAGCACTGGCGGGGAAGTCACAGTTGTGACCAGAACGGGACTTGGAAGGGAAGCTCTGAACCCCAGAGAGGCCAAGGGAATTGCTCCCCGACCAGAGCTGCCTGTATCCCTCCTGACCAGGCTTCTGCTGGAAGGCCAGGAGATAGGCGGGGCCCCTGGAGCCACCCACCAACGTCCCTGCCCCACAGGCCCCTCCCAGTCCCTGCACTGGGCTGTGGCACTTCAGTCACCAACTCTGCTCCTGGAGAGATGAACGCCCATCACTCGACCAGTGTGTCCCTCCACCAGCTCAGACCCTGGGATCAACACTCACACACATACTGTGTGAGGACCTGGCAGAGGGGAACCATGGTCCCCTCCTAGACAGTGATGTGCTTCAGGTGACATGGGTGCAGGGGCCCAGGCTCAGTCCTGGGTCCACCGTTTCCTCTGGGTCCTGCTGGAGGGTACTTGAAGTTACAGGCCATAGGAACCAGGGCACATGCGGCTCAGTCTCTTTTAACCAAGCTTCCACATTACCCCTGACTCTGCTCATCTCTGTTGGTTCTGACCCAAGAGTACATGACTCACAAGGTGAACCCTTCTCCAAGGTGTCACCTGCAGATAAGGCCAGGCACTGACCCAAGGCCACCACACAACAGCAGACACAGTTCAGCCTGCCCTTGCCTGCCCCTTTGATCCCACCACAAGGACATTGCTCTTGCTCTCCTGAGGGTGTCTACACTGGGGTCTCTCCTACTGGGATTCACCATGTCACCATATTGGGACAGTGAACCCTTTCTGCAGCAGGAGCCAGCATCCTGATGATGACCACAGATGGCATTAGCACACGGGGGGGTCACCGCCACATGTAGCCATGGAACACTTGAAATGCGGCTCATCCAAACACTATGTGTAACCAGCACACATAGAATTCCAAGGAGAACACACACATGCTGTGAACTATCACATCAACAATTGCTCACGTGTTGAAGAAAAGGTTTGGATACGTAAGACCACCTGCAAACATCATTACAGTCACTTTCACCTGCTCCTTTGTCCTTTTTAGTGTGCCAAGTAGACTAGTGACATTGTGCATGGGTCCAAGTCCCTCCTGTGGTAGTTCTGCAATGTCCAGTCCATGACTCTGTCCCCTGCTCCTTCCCCGGCTCTGTCTCCAGGTCCTTGACCACCTGGTACAGGAGATGCTGGTGAAAGCCTTATTTGTTGAACAAGGGAGAGATACAGAAAGAGAACCCAACCACTTTTTCTCAAGAGGTTAATTCCCTCCTGTTTAGCCAAGACATTCTAGAGAGCAGGTTGGGGACTAGGTCTCCCAGTGCCTCTGAGGCACCATCTACGCCTGGGATCCCAGCCTTTTCCAAGGACCCATGGAAGTCCTAGACGTCTGACAGCCAAGGAGGCCAAGACTCTACTTCTCACTTTTCTAAGGAAATAGGAGGTCATGTTGCCTTCATGGTCCAGGGTGTCACCTCTCTGGACACCAGAGTAACCCAAGCTTGGGACTGGGAGGAGAGACAGGACTGGGGAAGGAGGGAGAGATGGTGGAGGAGGAGAGGAAGGAGGAGGAGCTGGCGGGTCAGAAGGCAGATGGGGGGAGGTGGCCCTGGCAGGATAAATTCAGGCCCCTGGCTATTGTGGGCTCAGGATCTCAGGACAAGCCCTGCTCTCTCTGCGGTCCCAGCCCCACCTTCCCACAACATGACTGGGCTTCTGTGCACCCCGCTGCTCCTGCTGGCCACCCTGGCTGGGGTCCTGGCCTTGAGTTCTGAAGAAGAACTACCTGTGACAGGCGGTGTCCAGGATGCAGACCCCGAGGATGAGCAGGTGAAGCACGCCCTGGACTTCGCCATCAGCGAGTACAACAAGAACAGTGACGACAAGTACTACAGCCGCATGCTGAAGCTGGTGGGCGCACAAGAGCAGGTGAGTGCCTCCAAGTCCCTGGGTGTTCTCCCTGCTTGGAGAGCATGACCACTGAGACACTGACCTCACCACTCTAATGGTCAGCCTTCCCCAGTGGCCCCTCTGATGCCTCATGCTCAGGGGGTGCCCTGTACCCCTGCTTCTTTACTTCTTGACTGCTTCTTGTCCCCCACCCCAGCTGGTTCCCCAGAGTTGTGCCGTCCTTTCCTGGATGCTATGTAGCCACTGCCTGTGTTCAGTCTCCCTTGACCCCTGCAGTCCTCAACCTGCCTCTCGACCTTTGCGTGTTCCGAGGGTCCAGTCAGGACCTGGAGAGGGAGGCTTGGGAGGCTGGATCCAGGTGGGCCTGGTGCCTCCCAAGACTAGATCAGGCCACAAGGCCCGTCCTCCAACCTGAGTCCCCACAGAAGGAGCCTCCATGAGCCTGACCTCCTTGTCCTGGACAGCCAGACCTCCCGGCAGGAGCCATACCCAGAACAGCCCCCAGAGCTGGTGTCCTCCACCCTGAGATGAGGATCCATGCCACAGTCCAGGATGAGTGCCTGCTGGGGTGGAGGAGACCACCCTAGCCTCACTCCTGCCCACTGTGGGAGTTAGACTAGGGTGGATGAGGAGGATGGTCAGAGTGAGAAGGGTTGGGAAGTTTCAGTAACAGCCCAGGCTTGACCTGTGTCCCTCATAGAGCTGCATGCAAGACACAGTGGCAGCAGGGTTGAAGGACCCCATGTTCAAACGTCCTACCCTGCCCTGGAATTCAGTGCCCAGGGCCACCCACTTCCCCTCTCAGGCACCTGACAGCGACTCCACCTTCACCTGGGTGGGGGCTCCTGGTGCTTCAACCCCTGCTGGCCTGTTCCTCTCTCAATGTGGCCCTAACATAGATTGAAGCCCAGGGTGCTATAGATCACTGGGCCCAGGGGTCTATTTTACAGATGGGTAAACTGATGCCTGGGGTCCCTGACTCACCCGCTCTTCACCTGAACTTGACACACCCTGTACCCCTGCTTCTTGACTGCTTCTTGTCCCCCACCCTGGCTGGCTCCCCAGAGTGTGCCCTCCTTTCCTGGATACCTTGAAGGGCAGTCATTCCCCTTCTCCCTCCCATTTCTCGCTCCTCCTATTGGCTGGCAAAGACTCTGTGTTGATGCTACTCAGAAAACAGAAACAAGGCTTGGGCCTGGTAGGCAGAAAAACGCGGCTTCTGTGCTGCTTGGGTGACAGTGCTGGCAGGTGATAGGGCAGACATGGAGCCCTAGGACACAAAGTCTCCGCCACAGTGGCGGTGTGAATGTAGGGCCTGTGGGACTTGCCCTGCCCTTTTTCATGTAGCTTGTGGCTGGCATGTACTACATCTTTGACGTGGAATTGGGTCAAACTACCTGCACCAAGGACCAGGACAACTTGGATGACTGTCCCTTCCAAGAAGAGTCACAGCTCCAAAAGGTGTGTGGGTGACGGGATCCGGCCCAACAGGCCCTGGAGAATGGGCCTGTGTGTACCTGCGCCTGAGAGCACGCTATAAGGAATGTGTGGCTCATGTGTGGGTCAGTGTAGAGTGGTGTGTGTGTGCGTGTGAGTCTGTACATGTGGAAACACCGGTGTGTTTGTGCACACACATGGGGATGTGTGTTGGGAGGTGCCTGCATGCATGCATGCAGTTATATGTCTAGGTGCATGTATGTGTGGGGTGTGCGTGTGTGTGGACACATGAGCTAGTACATGTGGGAAGTCCATAGATTAGCATGTGCATGTGGGAGTAGACATGTGAGGGATTCATGTGTGGATGCATGTGGATGAGGGGCCTATGTGAGCTTCTGAACATGCATGTAGGTGCCTACAGTGTGGCGTGAGGAGGGTGTGCACATGATCAATCCCAGTGGCTGGGAAGGTGTTAGCTTGGGAATGGGGCCCTGGGATGGAACTCCATGAGCTTTGGGGTGATTCTTGCTAGCCTGGAAGAAGCAGCTGAAGGACTGAAGTGGGGCTGGGAGAAGGGGCTCCATCTATTTCCCAGTCACCTGCCCAGGACATAGCCCCACTGAGCAGCTCAGAGGGACTTAGGGCCTGTGGGTGGCGAAGCCCTGGGAGGCTACCCCACTCCCTGACACCTGAGCCTGGCTGCCCTTGTAAGGGTCTGCTCAGGGGACAGTCGGGCCCCCCTTGCTGCCCCATCCACCACCCAGCTCTTAGATGGGGAGTTCCTGTCCCCTGGGTTTCTCTTCTGGACCCCTCTCCCTGCTGGCCCAGGTGCTGGAGGTGGAGGATCCCTGACAGTGAGTAGCCTCCCTCTGCCTTATACCCTCCGGGGCTCCCAAGGCTTTGTCCAGGCTGCTCCATGCAGGGCTGTGCTGGGGCAAGAATTCTGGGGGCCGGCACAACCTGGGTGGACTTGGAGCCCTTGGGGGGGGGTGATGGATGGTTACTGCTTAGGAGTGGCTGGGTGTTTGGGACTCAATGGAGTGGATGGGCCAGGTTCTCTCCTACATCCCTCTTCCCCCCACTGTGGAAATCTCATGGCTGGGCATCTTCCTTTTAACTGTTCACACTGACAGTCCCTCTCTCTTTCCTCCCACAGAAGATCTGCCTTTTCTGCGTCTATGACATCCCCTGGTTGAATACCATGACTTTGAGCACATCCCAGTGTCACAAAGCATAGGGATCTGCACCAACCTGGGCCAAGGCAACCACCTCTGCACCCCCTTGTCCAGCTTCCTCCCTTGGCTGGTGGCCCCGTGGTGAGCATCTCCTCACTGCTGGGGCACCAGAAGACAGAGAAGGCTCTGGAGGCTGCTGTTGACAGCAGGTGGCTGTCCCAGCTCTTGTCTTCTCACTGTCTCCGTCCCGTCTCTTGTCTTCTCACTCTCTCCCCTTCCTGCAGGTATACACCCCACCCTTCCCTCAATAAAGAGTAACATCAGCTTGGTGTTGAGTCCTCGTGTCTTGATGACCATGGCAGAGGGGTCCAGCAGGTCCTCTGGGAAGTGCTGAGTGTCCTGCTGGGTCTGAGATCAGGGGATCCCCTGGGGCCACAAGGCCGTGGCAGGGGAGAGGGTGTCATGAGGGGACACGTGAGTCTGGGACAGGAAGAGCGCAGAGGAACTGGGACCTGGAGACTGGGTATGGCCTCTGCCTGGTAGGAGGTATGGGTCATAGCCTGGGCCAGGCCTCAGCGGAGCTCCCAGGCCTGAGACCCCATCATGTTGGAGAATCCTTCAAATGCCAGGACTGACCTCTCATCGGATCCCAGGGACTAAAGATGTTGTGGTTGATGTTCATTCTTGTACAGAGTATGGAGGCCCCAACCTGAATGAAGGGACCGGGAGTGCCTGTGTGAGCCACTGACAGCCTCAGGCTGGGTGTCCTGCCTGGCAAGTGTTCACAGGGCCAAATCCAAGCCCCTTACCTGGACTGGATATAGACAAATCCTCAAGTGAGTCCTCAGGACAGAGGCCTTAAAATAAAGCCAGATGGGTCTGAGAGACTCTCTTCTCTTCCTGGGGGACATGTTAATAAGGAGCATCTCCTGTGTCAACACCCTCCCTTGCCCAACAGTGCCCAATAGAGGCTGCCGTCTAAGACATGGACCACCCCACTGTCCTTCAGGGCTGGGTGCAGCCCTCATGCAGGGCTCAGGGCCAGTCTCTCAGGACCTTCCCTGCTCGGAGCATTGACAAGGGTCAGTATCAATGACACGGAGGAGATATGTCCAAGGGGTACCACCCAGGCAGCCCCACACCTGCACGCTCCTGCCACTACTGAAAGGCCAGAGCCAGACAAGGGCAGGGAGGATGGGCACACCTGCCTCTGCCTCACCCACCCCGATGACAGGATTCAAACAAGCTCTCTGGGAGGAAGGCAGTGCAGCCCCCCAGGAGGCCAGGACCCGGAACCTGGGAGTCTGGGCCTGACCCTGTTGGTGTGGGTGGACCCAGGGATTTGGGTTGTCGAAGGGAGGCAGGGGCTGAGCCCAGGTGCCCAGAAGTGGGAGTCAGGGTGGTGCCTCCCTGCAGGGAGGGCCCAAGGTTTCTACCTGATGGAGGCTTCTTAGACACAGTCCGTCCCATCCAACACTGCGACCTGCTGAGTCATGTGCCCAGTCCCCTCTCTGACTCAGTTCCCTTCCTCGGGGAGGGTGTAGGTGGGCTGTGTACTTGGCTCCCCCCTTCTCCCTGTTTCTGCTCCCCAGGAGAGGAGCTTGGGTCAGGGAGGCTGAGGGTGAGCAGGGGCATCTTGTGGTCAAGGGAAGGCCACAGACAGTGTCCTGGAGCTTCCGGGTTTTGGGATTAGGAGAGGGGGGGCCTGGGAAGTTCACAATTTGGAGATTGTCCCCTCACTAAGGGACCCTTAGCAAAAAGAGTGTCCCAAATCAGTGTCAAAGGCTGAAAGTTCAGAGGCTGATGCCTAAGTCAGCCCAGGCAGATCACTCTGAAGGGACAGAGGCAACCACGGAGGACTGGGCAGTGCAGGCTTTCATGGGAATGGGACACTCAGTGCAATTACCAAGGGCCGACTCAGGCTGGAACTGAGACATTCAGGGGTTCTCTATGAAAATAGTACAGTGTCACCAACACAACACCAAGGACAAAAGTCAATGTTTATTCAGGAAGGGGAAACATATCACAGAAAATCACACACTTTAAAACACTGATAAAAACAAAAATCACAAAATGCAGAAAATCAGCCAAGTCTGTGGTCACAGATGCAGTTTCCCTGGCTTGCTAGATAAGGGGATATGTCACTCCAGGGACACAGGAAAAGCACCCAGCAAGGGAAAGGACACAGTGCAGGGGAGGGAGGGAAGTTGAGGCTGTCTCATGGGTCAGAGTACAGCTCCTGTGTGCAGGAGCCATGTTGGGTTTGGACCACACAGTGGACCCCAGTCTCACAGCCTCAGAGCCATGACTGGAGCCGGATGTGGGAGGTTTGTCCAGAAACCCTCCTCTGGGGTCTGCACCTCTGGGTCGGTAACCTTGGTCCTCCAGGGTGGGATGTTCCTCTTG